CGCGCAGACGCAGCGGCGGGAAGTGCCTAGCGAGACAATGTTAACTGCCACCCGAAACGAGCGAATCGACAATTACAGCCCGAAAGACAATCCGCAGCTAACGGGAAAGATACCCACCGAATACCACAACGTCGAGCTGTCGATCAACGCATCTCGCGCCGCGATCGGGTCAAACCAGTCGAAATGGCACGCGGAAGAAGAGGCAACGTACACACTGCGATCGGGTCAAACCAGTCGGAATGGCACGCGGAAGAAGGGGCAACGTACGTGCCAAGTGCGGACCGAAACCAACAAGGAATGACCCACAGAAAGAGGCATGAATCATCCAGCCGCGCGGTTGAGAATTGACTGTATATAGTCGAACGCATACCCTGTTTGTTTTTGAATTGAATCAATAGACGTTTTCCCTGCCAGCTCGCCTTCTCGTTACAATATGAGGCTAATCACAGAATTGAGTATATGGTGTCCACCATAGTCTACAACTGTTTTAGTTATAACAATCACATCATTATTAACCCATTCGATGAAAACAGCAATGAACCAGGACGAACACTGTGAGAATAATGGACAAAATTCGTATTCGGAGGAAATCATTTCATTCAAAATGAATGAAATATCTGCTTTGGGGTATACTTAGTATATTGACTTCTCTCCAATATTCCAAACTGATTTTTCGTTGTGCAATCTATTCATGATTTTCTGCTTAAAATATGTGCCATTGGTGTCTGTAGATATCTATTCATTCGTTCGCTTATTTGTGACTAATGTATGTTCGAATCGATCGATACATTCGTTGTGGTCAGTGTTGGTAAACGTAAGTGACGGATTAAGTTCAACATGTGATACCATAACATGATTCAAAAATTAGAAGTGTATTGCTCAAATAATCAGGGGAGTGTTAGACCCTGGGTTACGATGACCTATGGTCAAAGACTTGTCTATAAGTTCATCGGTGCTCAGGCAAGGACAAGTACGATTATCGTTCATTCATTATCAAAGATGCGTCCGAGCGACGGCGATTATCGATCGTTCGGATCTGACATTTCACTCCACACATCCGCTCACCAGACAATCGAGATTATCGTTCACCCGTTTGCACGTTGGTGTACTGGTTTGTTCGATAAAGACCAATGTGTGATACGAAATGGTTGTAAATCAGTTATTGCACTTTCCCCCAATATAAACTAAAATCATCTCTTAGCAATAAAATGGTGTTGCATAAAGAATTGCACAGGTTTTCCCTAATACTCTCAAGGTCAGCCTAATTTGTTCGAACAGCGATTGGAATCGGTTTCTTAGTCAGAAGAGGAATAGTTTTTCCTCAATAATAAATGCCAGATGGTCTACACATGTTCGTCTTTAATGTGCCAGATCCATGTGGTTTGTTCATCACACACATCATCCAACTTCTATTTCATTCCAGAATGTTTTTCTTTTCAACAACACACGAAATTTTGTTTAAGGTCTCACATCCGATTCATCTTAGAATTTGTGGAGTTCGTTCTATGTAAGATAATGTAAGATGCTTTATTGTCCGATTGAATTTACGTACACCGGAACAACCTGTACTCTATTAAAAGCCCAACAATTCATGTGCGGTCCTAACCAACTCACAGTTTGATGACCTTTGTCCACCGGGTCAGAACTTGCTACGTTCCCCCTCCATGTCCAATTTACTTTGCATCCCCCCCCTTTAGCTTACGGTTACCTAATCACCCCACATAGCAACTTTCACGTTAATTGTCGTGTTCCGTTCTTCGTCTAACCTTTTATCGCAATCTACTGTCTCCACCCCACATGGAAATTGTATCGTAGTAACCGTCCTCACTTGTTCTGTGCTCAACCCATTATCGTTATCCATTATCTCGACTCGGCATAGAAACTGCCTCGTGTTATTGTCGTCATCTGTTCATCACCTACCCGCTATGATTATCCTACCGTCTTCACTGTTGTCACTGTTCATTCTTTTCTTGCTATCAATTATCTCTTGACACATGCCTTGTGTGTTTAACCATCCCAAACATCCTCCTCGTGTCCGTTGTCTATTCTCTCAATTGCACCGTGATTACG